TTTACCTGATAAAGGAGTAGTTTTAGATGGTGGCAATTTGATCTTTGGTCAACAGACAACTATGTTGCACAATGTATAAAATGGTAAGTTTAAATAGTATGGTCAATGTGTTAATACTAAGGAGAGATAGAAATGCTCTGAAGTGATAAGTATTCTCAGGAATTAGCCAGATGAATGTCATTTGTCAATTCTAGAAAGGCAATTTCCATTGAAACTTTTAGGCAAAATGCACATTGCCAATGGTGGATGTTATAAAAAGAGAAAAAGGTTAGAATGGGAGAGTAAACTAGGTGCTTAAAGGACCACTATAGTCATCCAGACCACTTCAGCTCAATGAAGTGGTCTGGGTGCCAGGTCCCCCAGGTTTTAACCCTTCAGATGTAAACATAGCAGTTTAGAGAAGCTGACGTCGGAGTGGGAGGAGAGGTCACCAGCGCCGAGGGAGCCCGGCGCTGGATTTAAGTAAGTAGCTGAAGGGGTTTTAGCCCCTTCAGCCAAGCGGAAGGGGGGCCCTGAGGGTGGGGGGGGACCTAAGGGTTTTATAGTGACTCGTTTTCCTGACACTATAGTAATCATTTAAAAAAAAAAGATGTTCTACAATATGTGAACAACAAATAAGGAAAGTACCATATAATAGTGTAGATTTAAAGGAACACAATAAATACCCATGTGCCTCACTTTATGTCCTTCTCCCTGCATCCCTCATACACTGCAACTAGACCCCCATTAGAACATGTATCCCACCAGGTGACTCACCTTCTATTAAAAACCTTTTAACACTAATCCTTAATTCCAGCTCCAAGGTCAGATATAAACTACCGCTTACCAGTTGTGCAATATCACTTGTATTGGGGATGTCATATAAGCTATCTGGGATGGAAAAAAAACTATGCGTAATATTGATCCAATTACCCTGTAACACTCTTATTGTGAGTGCAGTGTCATATAGAAATGGAGCCATAAATGTGCAGTATATTTATTCATCACCACCTCCAGATCACATACCATCGGCAGCTCCGGCCTTATAAGGGGACAATCTATCTGTCCTAAAAAAAAAAAAAAATTCACATATGATCAAAACTTCCTTAACAGATGTGTTACTTCTTCAATGGAAAAACTTATCTTCCTCAGACAGTACATTTTACCTATATAAGCTAGGATGCACATTGGGCAGTATTTCTTTTCTCAGATCCCACCAGGCGGCTCACGTCTTATGAGGATTAACAAGCTGTTACACTTTGTTGTGTAATGCTATATTCTCCTAGTTTGAAAATGAACCAATCACTACCAATAATCAAATTCCAAATAACATTTATTCTGTACAATTTTTGTAAGACATACATTTAAAAAAAAATAATAATTAGAATTTTCAGGCTGGACAAAAATGGTAAGTGGTGTCCCTCAGGGTTCTGTTTTGGGACCACTTCTATTTAACATATTTATAAATTATCTTGAAAAAGGCATTGAAAGCCATGTATCAGTGTTTGCAGATGACACAAAACTTTGTAAAGTAATAAAATGTGAGTAGGATATTGCTTTGCTGCAGAGGGATTTGGATAGATTGGGGGTCTGGGCACTAAAATGGCAGATGAAATTTAACGTAGAGAAATGCAAAGTTATGCACTTCGGGGTTAAGAATGCACAAGCAATTTGCACCCTAAATGGTCATGAACTAGGGATAACCACACACGAGAAGGATTTGGGAATTGTCATAGATAACAAATTAGGCAGCAATATGCAATGTCAATCTGCAGTTGCTAAGGCCAGTAAGGTTTTGTCATGTATAAATAGGGGCATAAATTCTCAGGATGAAAATATAATTTTGCCTCTTTATTTGCCTCTTTACCTTGAATATGCTGTGCAATTTTGGACGCCTGTTCTAAAGAAAGATATCATGGCACTAGAAAAAGTCCAGAGACGAGCTACAAAATTGATAAAAGGAATTTTAGTTATGAAGAAAGGTAAAAAAAATTAAATCTGTTTAATTTTGAAAAATGGCGCCTGAGAAGGGGATATGATAACATTATACAAATATATTCAGGGCCAGTACAAACCTTTATCTGGAAATCTTTTCATAAACAGGGCTATACATAAGACACAAGGTCACACATTTAGGCTGGAAGAAAGGAGATTTCATCTAAGGCAAAGAAAAGTTTTTTTTACAGTAAGAGCAATAAGGATATGGAATTCTCTGCCTGAAGAGGTGGTTTTGTCAGTCATTACAGATGTTTAAACTGCAATTTGATAAATACTTGCAAAAACATAACATACAGGGATATAATTTCTAATCAGTGGGGTAATAGGTGCTTGATCCAAGGAGACATCTGACTGCTATTTTGGGGTCAAGAAGGATTTTTTTTCCTAGTTTGTGGCAAAATTGGAAGCACTTCAGACTAGGTTTTTTGCCTTCTTTTGGATCAACAGCAAAAACATATGCGAGGAAGGCTGAACTTGATGGACGCAAGTCTCTTTTCAGCTATGTAACTATGTAACAGCATTAATCCCTTTAATTACATCACATTTTCTAGCCATCCAATGATTTAAAATGATCATCCTTGTAAAGCTGTCACTGAGAGGTAATCACAAACCATGGGGGGGAGGGGTAAGGAAGGAAGGGACTCAAGTCCTAGTACAAAGTAGGTATTGCACAATTGCCACTCTGTGCATCTTCTTCTAATTCTAGAAAGGACATTTACAGATCGAAAGGAACTTTGATTCAGGATATGATCAGTAAATGATGCAATGTATATGAGCTAACTCTTCACATGTAAATGAAGATTGAAAGAGGTCAAGTGGCAAGTAGCAGAAGAATAATTAGTGTAACAATTCTTAGATTTGAAGGTATGCATATAAAAAAAAAATGTTGAAATAGTGACTTTGAAATATTGAACACTCCGTGAGCAATGATGAAATGGAACTGTAGTAGACCAAGCGCAGAACCAGTGAGCCACATTTTCAATACTGCTGCTAGGACTAAAGTTAGGTTATGTCTAGGGCACATTTGATGTTTAGGTTTGTGGGCATTTAGGTAGGGTTACCATATCCACCATGTTTTCAGGGACACATATCACATATACATTTTGATGCACAGCACATGAAAAGAGTTGCCCTGTAGTATGTAGAATTCAGAAGATTTTTTTTTCAATAAGATTAAGTAATTAGGCAATGAAGAATCCTGCAGAATATGCATTATATATGCATAATATATATATTTTTCATGTGTTTTCATAAATATAACAAAATTATATGTGTCCCTGAAAACATGTTGGGTATGATAACTTTACTAATAGGGTCAGGAGGGCTGAGATCAACATATGTTTGTTTTTAATATTGGAGTGTTTCTTTAAGTAGTTGTTCGGGAATGTAAAAACATATTTTTTTTTTAAATCACATTTATTTGTTAGCACACTGTTTATCAGTTAGTATCAGGATTTTTCCTGACTTCATTCATTAAATATATCTCCTGTAGTATATAAACCATTATTCCTGTACAGATTTTCACTATATATATCTCTCCTAGTACAAACTTTTCAAGTATGTTCATAAAGTAACATTTTGCATTCTCGGCCTTGTTCAATCTCAGCAGTCTGTCTCTTCGACATAAGCAACATATAACCCAGAGCTCCGAAGTACAAACGTTCTGAATTATCTGAAGGTCTGATCAGTTCCAGATTCCAGGTGATATAAATTTCCATTCCAGAAACGTGATCTACAGCATTACATTTCATTCATTTGATAGGTAACTGCTGAACATCCACTCACAATCAGTAGCACACGTTTAAACGAATATCTGTACAAATTATCAAGAACAGATGTTGGAGTACTTTTAGATCCTAAATGAAAGTGGTTTATTGAAATCAAGAGAGGAGAGTATAAAAAGACCATCATAATAGTAATAACAAAAAAACTAAGGCCATTGGTTTCTTTCCTCTAAGCCAACGTGCAGAAACTACACTGAGATAAAATACAATACAAAATCTAAATAACAGTACTCACTATGCAGCATAAAGCCCCCACTGTTGCTCAGGCAGTGCATATAGATCCACAGAACAAAATTTAAAATAATAGAGGCTGCACAAATAGTTGCTGTGTTCACAAAACAGAATCCGACTACCATTTATTTGAAGGACAAACAACAAACATTTCGAGGTAACCCCTTTGTCAATGCATCATGTCCCATGTAGCCTATGTCAAAAATACATTACTTAAATTGAATTACATTGAAACCATAAAACATATACAGTGGAACCTCGGAACTCGATCTTAATCTGTTCCAGAAGGCTGTTTGAGTTCCGATTTGTTCTAGAACCGAATCAACATTTCCCATAATAATTAATTGTAACATACTCACGGATCCACGGGGGAGCAGATCTGCACAGAGAGTCCGGGGAGCAGCTCTGCACAGAAGTCCAGACAGCAGCTCCGAGCCTGTAGAGAAAGCCTACAACTCACTTAAGTAAGGAATGGGGGGAAAGGCTGCAGGGAGACCTGGGGACACAGACACTAGGGGACACTGAGACACTAGGGGGCACTGGGAGACCTGGGGACACTGAGACACTAGGAGACATGGGGACACTGTAACATATGGAGACACTAGGGGACACTGAGACACTAGGGGACACTGTGAGACCTGAGTACACTGATACACTAGGGGAAACTGTGAGACATGGGGATGGTGAGAAACTTGGGGACACTGGGAGACATAGGGACACTGAGACACTAGGGGGAACTGGGAGACATGTGAACACTGAGACACTAGGGGAAACTGTGAGACATGGGGACAATGAGAGAATTGGGGACACTGGGGAACATGGGGACCCTGAGACACTAGGGACACAGTGGCCCCATGTCTCCCAGACAGTGTCCCCATGTCTCCCAGTTTCCCTGGTGTCTCTCAGTGTCCCTACGCTCCCAGAGCCCCCGAGTCTCTGTGTCCCCATGTATTTGTGTCCCCAAGTGTCTCTGTGTCCCCATGTCTCCCCAAGTGTCTCAGTTTCCCTAGGTCTCCCAGTGTCCCCATGTCTCACAGTGTCCCTAGTGACATGGAGACACTGGGAGACATGGGGACACTGAGAGACATGGGGACACTGGGGGACTTTGAGACCTGGTAGACATGGGGCACTCCCTGTGTACTCATGTCTCCCAGCCAGTGTCCCTAGTATCTCAGTGTCCCCATGTCTCCCAGTGTCCGTAGTGTGCCAGTGTCCCTAGTGTCTCAGTGTTTCCTAGTCTCCCAGTGTCCCTAGTATAAAAGAAAAAAGTCTCAGGCACTTACTGCAATTTAAGCAGGTTTATTGGACTCTGCAACGTTTCGACCTGTACTCAGGTCTTTGTCAAGTCTCCAGTGTCCCCTATGTATCACAGTGTCTCAGTGCCCCATGTCTCACCATGTCCCCTCGTGTCTCAAAGTCACCCAGTGTCCCCATGTCTCCCCCAGTGTTCCCTAGTATCTCAGTGTCCCCATGTCTCCCAGTTTCTCTCAGTGTCCCCTAGTGTCCTAGTGACATGGGGACACTGGGAGACATGGGGACACAGACATTAAGGGGCAATGAGAGACATGGGGACACAGACATGCCCCCTTTTTGGGTATGTTCGTCCATTTTGGCACTTCTAGTTACGTGATTTGGGTCAGTGGCCCACCCTTTTACCCCGACCACTGACTTCCTGCTTCACTGGACACCGCTGTTAGGGGTTATGGTTTTATTTGAAAGATGAAAGCATGAGATTAGCATAGGATATGTGTTTTCTCATAGCTGCATCCTATTAGTTTCCATCCAGCACCATCTCCATCAGATACATGACACTTGGGAGATAGGACTGTTGTAGTGTTTCTGGTCGATAAGAATTTGTAATTAGGCCCATCATAATTGTCAGCATCAGGCCCACTGGGTTCTTAATGTGGCCCTGGGTTGATTGGGTTGAGAGATGGAAAAGAGAGATTGACGTAGCGTATGTATAGGCTTATAATGCATTTTACAAGTGTTCCTGCAGCACGAACACCAAGATACAAGACACTGACCGTTTTAGTTATTTCACTCTGTAAGATTCTGTAATTCAACCAATCATTCTTGCTAGTCCCCTGACCAATAGACTCTTTTAATCCAGCTCTGAAGGGGGAGGGGGTAGATATGTGGAGTGACTCTTTGTAGAACATTCTGACAAGTGGTTTAAAAGTGGTTTATAATGAACACTCCAAACAACATAACCACTACAGTGTGCTGTAGCATTTTGACTGGCAGGCAACAGAAATTACAGAACGTAAAATTTAATAAGAGAAAAAAAAATACACTAGTAGAGTTTGAGTTTCCAGGAGCTAGAACAGAGAGAGTAGGTATTGGAATAAAACTGGAACTGGATATGACATTAAATAATACAATATTAAAATTAAGAATATAAAATTGCACTGTCTGCTATGATAAGTATAAAGCAGAAATGAATATGACCATAAATGGTAAAATAGATAGATACACACAAATGGATGCTGTCTGATGTTATGGGTGCTCAGACATTTATTAAAAAGTCCAATAAATAGATCCAAAATAGTGGAGATACTGCAACATATATTAGACAAGTCCAGAAAATCAGTCCAAAATTTCACTTTAAATCAGAATAGTCTCAAATCCTCAAACATAGAAACAGAACTTATAGCATAAGTAGTCTAGACCCTGCTTGTAAAGACAACGTAGGGTTAATAGTACTTATGGCTTAATCTACTTTTGTGAACAAAAGATAGAGTAGCAGTCCAGAGAAATAAACCAGAGCAAGCAAGTATAAGGAACTAATTGCTCAGTATATGATAAGTGATGATATCACAATCCTTTAAAAATAGGTCACTTGAAGAAAGAGTTACTTAGTAAAACAATTTATTGAAATCTTAAAAATTAATAAACATTTGAAATATATAAAAAATATTGGTGAAAATCTGAGGTAGGTAAACAGTCTTTTAAGTATCAAGTGGAATAAGCAATAAAACCTGCTGTCCAGACCAGGATGGATGTGGATTGTGCTTGGAGTTTGTTGTCTCTGTATCCAGGTAGCCAGCGAGGAGGGCTTGTGAGTTCTTGTATGCTCCACCTCCGACCTCACATCAGGAGTGAGCTGTAGTCTCATTGAAAGGTACAGATGCTGGGGTTAAAGTGGAATTATTGGACTGATTTTCTGGACTTGTCTAATATATGTTGCGGTATCTCCACTATTTTGGATCTATTTATGGGACTTTTTAATATATGTCTGAGCACCCATAACATCAGACAGCATCCATTTGTGTGTATCTATCTATTTTACCATTTATGGTCATATTCATTTCTGCTTTATACTTATCATAGCAGATAGTGCAATTTTATATTTTTAATTTTGTTATTGTATTATTTAAAGTCATATTCATTTCCAGTTTTATTCCAATACCTACTCTCTCTGTTCTAGCTCCTGGAAACACTCTACTAGTGTATTTTTTTCTCTATACCTATAGGATCAGGTGAAATCCTTATTTTCCAGTTTCTGAGCTAAAACACTCTCTATTCTTATTCCCTCTACTCCCTCTGCTGTACTCACTTTTGTGAATACCAGAACATTGTACGCGTAAAATTTAATAAGTCTTAGTCAGACACAATTTGTTTGGTGTTATTTATTGACAAAGATTATAGGGATGATGAACCCAATGTTGAATTTGTCTGTCTGAGACCCCAGATACCTATCGAACTGAAACAATTACTGCATCAGATGCACTACTAATAAAGGCAAATGTAAATGTTCATTATATGTGCACATTATGAACACATGCTATTAGGCTGCTGCTTCGTGTATTAGTTAAACCTTTTTTAGATCATTCAGGACACATTGGGATTTGTACCTTCCTGCATTCTGTGTGTCCAATATATTTACAGCCACTTACAACGTTTTAAGTGTTGTTACAGAGAACTTAATTAAAAGGGATACTGCCATTAGAAAATATATCATAATAAACATGTATTATTATGATATATGTTTTGACATAAAAGCTCTCCCGTTTGAAACTTCCCCATAATCAATCAGTGTAATTGTGGGAGATCCATCAAGCTATCATAAATTGTAAAAAGTTGTTATTCCATTGGTTTCTGGGAAATTATCTTTACCAGTAAGAGGTTCCCATGGTGATGCCTCACTGTTAAAACTATGTATCACTTTTCAGAATAATGCAGGGTTTTGATAACGTTTTATTTTGTATCTTAATCTTTATTATCATTATTGTCATTGTTTTCTTCAGCTTGTTTTACTGGTTGTGTTAGGTTTGTATCCTCCGTAGAGAAGTACTGAATCCAAAATTTCACTGTTAGAACTAAGCAATAAAACCTCTCAGCAACACCAAACATAAACAATAATTTAAAAAAGTCTTCAATGAGAAACCATCTCTAGATCATGTCTAATTGACAGTGACTAAAGGCATTCTGCTGACATATACACAGTAACTTAAATTATAAAAACAATATCGCTGCTTTCCACTTATCACTAAACATAAGAGAAAATAGAGTATAAACATAAACCCCAGCTCCTGTTAGCTGTCACAGTCCTGCATTAGATACTCAAATGAACCTCCTGTGTCTGTGTAGGTGTGCCTCTTATAAGCCCCACTAACTGCTACAGCAGGTAATAACTAGACATGTGCAATTCGGTTCGGTCTGAATGGAAATTCAGACGAATTTCAGACATTCGGATGCTTCTGAATGGCCGGAGTGCCAAGTTTCGGAAGTGCCGAACCGAACCGCCAAGGTGCCAAGTGCTTCAGACTTCTGAAAAGTGGCAAAACAGATAAGGGTAGGGTTAGGAATAGTGTTAGCGGTAGGGTTAGGGCAGGGTTAGGAATAGGTTTAGGCGTAAGGTTAGAGGTAGGGTTAGAGTTGGGTAAGGGGTAGGTTTAGGGTTGGGTTAGTAGTAGGGTTAGGGTACCTCTACCCCTAACTCTACTCCTAACCCCACCCTACCCCTAACCCTACTCTTAACCCTAACACTAATCCAAACCCAACCCTAATCCTAAACCTAACCTTACTCCTAACCCAACACTAATCCTAACCCTACTTCTAACCCAACACTAACCCTATGCCTAACCCAAACATAACCCTAACCCTACTCCTAACCCTACCCCTACTCTTAACACTAGCCGTAATCCTAACCCAACCCTAACCCTACTCCTAACTCTACCCTAACCATAACAATAACCCTACTCCTAACCCCACCCTACACTAACCCTCCTGCTAACCCAACCCTAACCCTACTCCTAACCCGACCCAAACCCTACTCCTAACCCTAATTCTACCCTACTTCTAATCCTAACCTTAATCCAAACCCAACCCTAATCCTAAACCTAACCTTCCTCCTAACCGAACCCTAATCCTAACCCAACCCTAATCCTAACCCTAATCCTAAACCCAACCCTAATCCTAAACCCAACCCTAATCCTAAACCCAACCCTACTTCTAACCCAACTCCTAACCCTACGCCTAACCCAACTCCTAACCCTACCCTAATCTTAACCCTAACCGTACTCCCAACCCAACCCTAACCCTACTCCTAACCCTACTCCTAACCCAACCCTAACTCTACTCCTAACCCTACTCCTAACCCTAATCCTAACCCAACCCTACTCCTAACCCTACGCCTAACCCAACCCTAACCCTACTCCTAACCCAAACCTAACTCTACTCCTAACCCAACCCTAACCCTACACTTACCCTAAGTGCCAAATTGCCGAATTTTGGAAGTGCAGAACCGAATTGAATTGCCGAAGTCCAGAATTGCAGAAATGACGAATTTCGGAATGCCAAACCGAACTGAATTTTTTGCCCATGCACATCCCTAGCAATAACTATATCTACACTGCAACAGTGGGCTGCAAATGGACCGTTTCCTCAGGGAACCTCAATATACACACCATAACACTGCCTCAGAGTTATTATACCGGTATGTAGCCCTTGCTGTATGTGTCCTTTAAACATGTCAATAACTGCTACTACGCAGAGACATGTATTATTCTAATATTAGAACGCACTTTTGTTTCATTGACATTTTTATTATGTGCACATTATGCTTATCATAATTTATAAACATTCAAGTAAACAGAGTCCAG